AATTGTTGAATCACTATATTGTACACCTAAAACTAATATAACATTGTATGTTAACTATACCATAATTAAAATAAAATTTTAAGAATCTTAGATATTTTTTTAAATATAGTGAAACAAATGAAAATAAAAAAACAACAGGCCAAAATTTTATGGGATGTTGGCAAAAGCAGTTTTAAGAGGGAAGTTTAGGAGCACCTGGGTGGCTCAGTTGGTTAAGTGTCTGCCTTTGGCTCAGGTCATGATCCCAGGGTCCTGAGATTGAGCCCCACGTTGGGGGGGGGGGGCCCTGCTCAGCGGGGAGTCTGCTTCTCCCTCTGCCCCTCCCCCCCCACTCCTGCTCTCTCCCTCTGTCTGAAATACATAAATACAATCTTTAAATAAAAAAGAGGGACGTTTATAGCAATAAACACCTAAATGAAGAAAAAGGACAGATGACAAGTAAGTAATTTAACTTCACACCCTAAGGAACCAGAAAGCAAAGAACAAACCAAGCCCAAAGTTAGCTGAGATAGAAAATAATTATCAGAGCAGAAATAAAACAGAGACCAGAAAAACAATAGGAAAGATAAATAAAATAAAAAGTTGGTTTTTTGAAAAGATAAACAAAATTAACGAACCTTTAGCAAGACTAAGAAAAAAGAGAGAAGATTCAAATTATTAAAATTAGAAATGAAAGAGGAGACATTAAAACTGATTCAATAGGACTGTCTTCTACTCTGTAGCTGGAGCAAGCACGGCTCTAGAGGGCTCCTCGGGGTGGTGGGCTCGGCGGGGAGAGCAGGGCTGGCTTTCCTCTGGCAGGAGCTTGGTTGCCCCCCTGTCATCGTGGTGCAGGTTTAGGAAAACCCGGAGACGGCATCACGGCCGGGGAGCCTGAGCTTCACTACTTCAATGGACGAGGCAGAATGGAGTCCATCGGGTGGCTCCTGGCTGCAGCTGGAGTAGAGAGACAGAAGTCTGATGTTCCAGCAAGTACCAATGGTGGACATCGAAGGAATGACACTGGTGCGGACCAGACCAGAACCATTCTCAAGTACATGGCCCCCAAATACAACCTCTACAGGAGAGACCTAAAAGAGAGAGCCCTGATAGATATGTACACAGAAGGTATGGCAGATTTGAATGAAATGATCATTGTTTTGCCTCTATGCCCACCTGATCAAAAAGATGCCAAGATTGCCCTGATCAAAGAGAGAACGACAGATTGTTATCTCCCCATGTTTGAGAAAGTGTTAAAGAGCCATGGACAAGACTACCTTGTTGGCAACATGCTGAGCAGGGCTGACATTCACCTGGTGGAACTTCTCTACTATGTGGAAGAGCTTGACCCCAGCCTTCTGGCCAACTTCCCTCTGCTGAAGAATCAGCAATCTCCCCACCATGAAGAAGTTTCTGTAGCCTGGCAGCCCGAGGAAGCCTCCCATTGATGAGAAAAGTTTAGAACAAGCCAAGATTTTCAGGATTAAATGAAGCAGGAATGGATGCCCAGCACATGTAGAACCAATCTGCTGAGGTTTTCCAGCAATGAAGTGCGTTACCTAAATGTAAATACTGGCTATCGTGAGACTAGGAAAAGTTGCAAAGGTTTAGTGGTAATTAAGTAATAATACTCCTATGAGCCAATTTAACTTTTTAAACTATTATTTATTCTTTTTCACTAGGATCAAATATAAAATCAGAATTCAGTCCTTCTATTCTGTCTCTTGGATTAAAAATTAACATAGGAAAACATAGATTATGTGGTCTCTTTGATCTTTCTATGAATTGTCATATAACATTTGTTACCTAGCCTCTCAAAGAGTTGAGTGTAGAAATTCATATCTGACCTTCTCATGTACCCACAGGAAAATAGCTACTGCCCTGGGTAATGGCATAAAGATATGTTCTTGTTTCTTCTTTGGGAGCCATTTTTCTTTCTATAATAAAAATCTTTTGCGGCACCGGGGTGGCTCGATCAGTTGAAAAAAAAACTGATTCAATAATAATATAAAGAATCATAAAAACTATGAACAATTATATGCAAACTAATTGGATAACATAGAAGAAATAAATTCTTAAAACATAAAACTTACCAAGACTGAATTATGAAGACATAGAAAACTGAACAGAGCAACAAAGAAAAGCCCAGAACCAAGTGGTTTCACTGGTGAATTCTACTAAACATTTAAAGAATTAATGCCAATTCTTCTCAACCTCTCAAAAAAAATTAAAAAGGAGGGAACACTCCCAAACTCATCTTACAAGGCCAGCATTATCCTGATATCAAAGCCAGATAATGTCACTGTAAGAAAAGAAACTACAGGCCAATAACTCTGATGAATATAAATCTCAACAAAATACTAGCAAACTGAATTCAATAATATATTAAAAGGATCATATGCTATGATCAAGTGGGATTTATCCCTGGCATGTAAGGATGGGTCACCATATGTAAATCAATAGATATGATACACTATATTAATAGAATGATAGATAAAAATCATATGGTCAATCAATAGATGCAGAAAAAACATTTGCCAAAATTTAACAACCTTTTTATGGTTAAAAGCTCTCAAAATTGGGTATAGAAGAAACATACCCTAGATAAACAGAAGTCATGTATGACAAAGCCACAACTAACACCATACTCAAAAGCAAAAGGTTGAAATTTTTCCCACTAAGAATTGGAACATGATAGGGTATCCACCACTCCTATTCACATAGTACTAGAAGTCCTAGCCAGAGCAATCAGGCAAGAAAGGGAAATAAAAGGCATCTGAAATGGAAAGGAAGAAGTATAACTGTATCTGTTTGCACATGATATGATCTTACATAGAGAAAATCCTGAAGACTTCACCAAAAAATTGTTACAATAAACAAATTTAGTATAGTTGCAGGATAAAAAATCAATATATAAAAATCAACTGAATTTCTATACACTAACAACTATTTAAAAAAGAAATAAAGAAAACAATCTTATTTACAATAGCATCAAAAATAATAAAATACCTAAGAATATAAATCAGGAGGTGACAGATCTGTATACTGAAAATTATAAGATATTAATAAAAGGCATTGAAAAGGACCCAGATAAATAGAAAAATATCCCATGTCCATGGATCAGAAGAATTAATATTATTAACAAGACCATACTACCTGAAGTGATCTATACATGTAATGCAATCTCTATCAAGATTCTAATGGCATTTTCACAGAAAGAGAAAAAGCAATCTTAAAATTTGCATTGCACCACAAAAGGCCCTGAATAACCAAAGCAATCCTGAGAAAGAAGAAACAAGCTGGAGGCATCACAATTCCTGATTTCAAACTTTATTACAAAGCTATAGTGATCAAAACAGCAAAGTATTGGCATAAAAACAAACACACAGACCAACAGAAAGAATAAAGAATCTGGAAAAAAAGCGTATGCATACACAGTCAACTGATATTTCGTAGCCAAGAATAATACTAAGTGGGAAAATAAGAGTTGCTTCAAGTAATGGTATTGCGAAAACTAGATATCCACATGCAAAAGAATGAAACTGAACTCCTATCTCACATTACTCACAAAAATTAACTCAAAATGGATTACAGACTTAAATGGAAGACCCCAAAATGTGAAACTACTAGGAAAAAAAAAAAACAGAGACAAAGCTCGAAAACATAGAGAAAAAGCTCCTTGACATTGACAATGATTTTTTTTTTTTTTTGGATATAGCATGAAAAGCACAAGCAACAAAAGCAAAAATTACTAAGTGTGACTATATCAAACTAAAAAGTTTCTGCAGAGCAAATCAAATAATCAACAAAATGAAAAGACAACCTACAGAATAGGAGAAAATATTAGCAAACCATATATCTGAGAAGGGGTTAATAGCCAAAGTATATAAGAAATTCCTACAACTCAATAACAAAAAACAAACAAACCTCACATCTGTTAGGATGGCTATTATCAAAAGACAAGAGATAATAAGAAGAGTTGTCAAGGATGTAGAAAAAAGGAACCCTTGTGCACTTTGGTAGGAATGCAAACTTGCATAGCCACTAATGGAAGGTAGTATGGAGGCTCTTCAAAAAATTAAATATAAAAACTACCATATGATCTAGCAACCCCATCCTGGGTACATATCTGAAAGAAATGAAATCACTATCTCAAACAAATATCTGCACCCCTTTGTTCACTGCAGCATTACTCAGACAGAGAAAAATAAATACTGTATGATCTCACTTACATATAGAATCTAAAAAGACCAAACTCATAGAAATAGAGAGTCAGATAATAGTTGCCAGGGGCTGGAGGTGAGGGAAATGGGGAGACATTGGCCAAAGAGTACAAATTTCCAGCTATAAGATTAATAAGTTCTTAGGATCTAAAGTAGAGCATGATGACCATAATTAACAATACCGCATTATATACTTAAAAGTTGTTTAAAAAGTAAATCTTAAATGTTATCACCACAAAAAGAGGTAATTATGTGAGGTGATGGTGGTGTTAGCCAACCTTATTGTTGTAATCATTTCACAATATATGTATATATGTATAAGCATATATATATATAAACATATAATTTACATATGTGTCAATAATATCTCAATAAACCTGAGAGGAAAAAAAAGAAATGTATTCTCCCTGGCCTTATCTATCATGGCTTATAGACTAGAAAGTCAGAATGGAATTTAGAGCACATTAGCCCACTTTGCCCTATGCACATCCCTGACTCAACATGAGTATAGTGGGACCGCTGACAGAAAATGGGAAAATATGTCACAGCGTCCATGTAGAGCCCATACAACAATGAGTGGGATGAAATGGTTCAAAGTGAACTCTGAGCTGCTGAGAATATTGTAGCCATTTCCCAGGAGGGATACTTGGAAAATGTTATAGCAGGTGTCATGGTGTCTGTGGTTCCGACCAAGAATGAAAAATGTTCAACACACATCCTGCTCTGGAAGTTACTCTCCTGCCAAAAGGAATGAACCCCAACCAGCACAGTGTTGGCATAAAAACAGATGGGAGAGCAGAGAGCAGTCAGAGAGAAGGCAAAGATGCATTTCTAAGCAATTACTTATCAGTTGAGGTTTCTGATCTATTAGCAGGTCAGAAAATCAATTGTGTGGTTCCAAACCACATTGCTTAATAAAATAGATGAGACTAGAATAGAAAAATAAGTAAGTGCATTGTATATCATAATGATAAAAATACTACCTCATGAACTCACTTTCTTTTCATTAATATATGTACATATATTGGTATAACGGATCACAATGTAAAATGTGTTTCTTAGTGTGAATCACAATTAAAAATGCTTGAAAAATACTTTTCTAACAAAGAACAAAGGCCATTAGTAATTAATAGAAAATTTTAGAAAATGCTTCCTTACAAACATCACATATAGAGACAAGGTATTTAAAGTAAACAGTGAGAAATCCGGATCCTGGTCAAACTCTAATTTACTATGTTAATGAAAAAGTACCTGAATTTTCAATGCAGCGTCTAAGAGCTAGCATTATTGCTGTTACTACAGTTGTGGTAATAGAAATCGTTGCGTTGGTTTTTTCCAGAAAAAGAGAATAGCAAATGGGAAAGTTGAAATAAAGGAAATGGGTGAAATGCACAGGGAACTCAATGCCTAACTACTGTAATTTGAAGAGTAACTACAAGAAGTGAAGCTAGCAAACAGACTCAAAAATGTGTGAGCATGGGACAAAGAGAGGATCTTTGAGGATTACTATTTTGTTAGTTAACCTATTTGTACTGGTAAATCTATATTCAAAATATAAGTATCCTGAAATCCGCTTTACCAATCTTAAAATTTAATCACAAGTGTCTTCTATATGCAGATCTAATTTAAAAAAAAACTTGGCCTGCATAGTTTAAATTATTTATATATCACATTGTATAAATAACTCATAACAGAGTGTATATTAAATATGCTTCCACAGTAGAGTTTAAATTACTACTGTCTCATTCACTTGTGACTGAAAGCTGTCTTCCTATCTGAGTTTTTTTTTAAAAAAAATTATTATTGAAGTATAGTTGACATGCAATGTTCTACTAGTTTCAGGCACACAACACAGTAATTCTATACAGTATGCATGCTCACCACAATAACTGCAGTTATCATCTGTTACCGTAAAATGTTATCATAATATTATTGACTATATTTACTTTAAGTCTTACAAATTTTTTGTGAAATATGAAATAAAACATTTTTAAACAGAAAGAAAGAGGGGTGAGGGAGGGAAGGAGGAAGGAAGGAAGGAAGGACAGAAAGAAGGGAGGAAGGGAGGGAAGAACCTGTGAGTGATTACATATCAGGAACTGATCATTTTTTACCACTTCAACAAAAGGCCTATAAGGAAGTGACAACTTGGTTCAGAGTAGCACGTGTCAGAAACTTCATGGAACACAGGAGAAATTCAGAACATCTGGGCAGTGCTAGAAAAAAAATAATCAGAAACAGACTTAAATACATTGGCTAAAAGCTGGG